ACATTTAGCTGTACTTTCCCATTTTCCCTATGCATGGTGACTTTAGGGACACTGTAGATTACAAAGACCTGTAACATTTATGATTTCCACGTTAAATTTTCTGTGCTTTAACCCCTCCCTGATTTGTGGAGAATTTAGAGGTGACAGTAGTATTTAATTTACTGGATTTTGTTCTGTAAGGCAAGAAATGGATTTCTTATTATTGTAATGTTTAGCAAGTCTTATAGTTGGGTGAAGTCTTTATGCTTGGAAGTAAACCTCCAGCATGTTATTACCTTAGAAATCTCTGTAAGGGCTTGTAACCAAATCACTTAAATGTTCTGTTTTTTTATAGAAAGGAAAATATGATGTTCCCAAGTGGCTTTCTCCCAGTAGCATTCTGCTCCTTCAACAAATGCTGCAGGTAAACTTTGTTATTTATTTTAAAATAGTAAAGGTCTATGGAATTGTTTGATTTAGCTTTTAAGGTATCTAATGTGCTACTACAGTTACCATGATCTGTTAGCTTGGAATAATTTCATTCCTCATATCTACCATGCATATATCTTCTAGATCCTTAATTATGTTGTATAGACATTTTTTAAGACATCTACTGTTTGTCGTTGCTGGTATTGTTTTTCTTTTTCTTGAGCGTTGTCGGTTTTCTCTAATAGCTCTTACTTTACTCTTATTTTCTTGTTCCCACTCTTGCACATTACTTATGCAGCAGATACCAAGTAAATGGTTGAATGAATTGCTGTACAATTTAACCAGCCCTGTGATCCTAGTGCAATGGTTCTTAATCTTTAATGGATCAGAATTACCCGATGGGGCTGAGCCCCACCCTCAGAGTGTCTGATTCAGTCGATCTGGGGTAGAACTAAATCTGCATTGCTACAAGTTCCCAAATGATGCTGATGCTGCTAGTCTTAGAACCACATATTGAGAACCAATGATTTGGGATGAGCCTCTGAGGGTGAAAAATAGGAGTGCTGAAGTCTGGGTATCCCCGCTACTGATCAGTAGGTATATCACCTAAACTGGTTCTCATCTATAAAATGGGAGCCTCACTGCTACGTAGTGTTATGAAGATAAAACGAGACTGATAGGAAATGCTTTGAAAATATAAGTACCTTATTAGTGCAATATTTTTTTTATTATGTATTCAGAATATCTTCCAGTTTTTCCATCTATTAAGTCATCTCCACCTATTATTCAAAATTTACCTCAGGCTCACCCACCTTGATTAAGTAGGGGCAGGCTACCAAATCTCCATAATGAGATTGAAAATGCCTTACTCTTTCTTCTAGACTCCCCCAAATTTAATCTTTGTTGATTAATTTTTCTCTCCACATTTGAAAATTACAAATGGAAAGGAAAGGTGTGCTTTTCAACTTGTTCTATATGATTGTGAGCTCATCGGAGGTAGAGATGGCATATTCACTATGAAAGCCCTGCATTGTGGCTGCTTGAATATTAAATTGGTGAATATTTCCCTTGAATAGGTTTTCCAGCAAGAGACTATTACATCATACAATAGATTGACTGCACTTCATGAATAATGCCCATACCAATGAAGTTCATGTTTGTTAAACATTTGTCTTCTAAGCCTATGGTGGTTGCTATAGTTTTCTAGCTTCTATTGCCTTTTTTGAAGAATTTATTCCAAGGCCATTTTAAGGTCTTTGACAACATTTTTTCATGATAAAGTTTACATCTGTTCTGATGCATATTGAGTTCTCATGAGGAAAGGTGTTCTGTGTTCTCTATTTGAAATGTTAATCTCTAGCTACTTCTTAATGGCCACTAGGTGGACCCAAAGAAACGGATTTCTTTGAAAAATCTATTGAACCATCCCTGGATCATGCAAGATTACAACTGTCCTGTTGAGTGGCAAAGCAAAAATCCTGTAAGTAAAATGAAATCCAATAGAATTTTTTTTTTAACTTTGGGTGATCTTTGTGTGAATTCAGAACCTACAATGCTATGGTCTAATATAAAATAAAGCATATTTGGTAGACTTACTCATCAGATTGGTGTTTTGGAGATTTATAACCCAATGGACAGTGGTTCCTTAACTTGGTCTACACGTGAGACTCTCCTGGAACATTAAAAAGAAATGCCTGCCCTCCCCCCCCCCATCATAGACTACCTAATGAGTGTTTTTAAAAGCTTCCAGGGGCTTCTTATATGTAGTGACTCACAGTGTTCTGGGAATCTCAGGTCAGTTACTATCTTTGCAAAGTCTGTTTATTTGTCTCTAAGAAGTAGGTTAAACCAGTTCTACTTCCCAGAGTAGTTATGAAGTTAGAGTGGTTCTCAAATTTTTTAGTGGAAGGAAACTCCTTTACCGTCTTACTACTTACTAAGTCATTTTAAAGTAACAGCAATAAACCTATTACATATTATCCCAAATATTTTTATGAAGAATAACCATTTAAAAAATCAATTTAACAGAGGCCAGGTGCGGTGGCTCACGTCTGTAATCCTAGCACTCTGGGATTCCAAGGCAGGTGAATTGCCTGAGCTCACGGGTTCAAGACCAGCCTGATCAAGAGTGAGACCTCCCATCTCTAAAAATAGCTGGGCGTTGTAGCAGGCGTCTATAGTTCCAGTTACTTGGGAGGCCAGGGCAAGAGAATTAGGCTCAATTACTTGAGCCCAAAAGTTTAAGGTTGCTATGAGCTATGATTCCATGGCACTCTACTGAGGGGGACAAAGTTAGACTCTGTCTTGAAAAAAAAGATCAATTTAGCAAAAAGAGTGGTATTGTTTTACATCTTTTCAAATTTCTTTAGAATTTGGCTTAATAGAAGGCACAGATACGTATCTGCTTCTGCATTCAGCCTGTTTTATATGTTGCTTTTATTGAAGCATGTGAAGAAAATGCAGCCTCACATTGACATGGAATTAGAAAAGGGAGAAGTATTTGAATAGCCTTTCCAGATAATTTGGGCTATTCTCTGATATTCCACCAAAACTTCTATACTTGAGGGGACCTTTGTAAAGGACCAACAGCAAGCTTGGAGGTGGGTCTCAGATATAGTATGGACTTAGCACAACTGTGGCATATCTGCTTTCTAGAATGATTCCATACATGTTATTCCAATAGTCAGATGATCTTGGAAAAATATACTTGCTTCAAGCCCCTTCTCACTATTCTGCCCACTGTTATGGCCATGCAACTGAAATCTCTCCTGTTTCTCTGATCACTGTCAACTCCTAAAATTTCTTTTACCCACATTTTCCACATACCTCCAGGTTATCTTTAATATCTTTTGAGCAAATACAACATACTTCTAATACTTGTCAACACTGGGAGACTGAGAACAGCAGCGTGCAAGTGTCTGAGCAGTGCAGCAGCAGGGCCAGGATGGCGGTGGTGTGCCCCTTGTGAAGTGGAGAGGGTGGGTGGTGCAAATGCCTGTGTTCAGCCATTGGGGGTCATCATTTCTCCATGTGTGGAGAGCTTTGCACATCTTCTCAGCCACGATCCTAATACAATAGGACACACTACTATTTGTAACAGAACAGACACCAAAATGAAGTTTCTGATTTCTGTAATTCAAAATTTTTTTTTTAATTTGAGACACAGTATAAAGAAAAAAATACAAACCTTTTGAGTGTTTCAAAAGTGTATATGGTTTTCCTATCTTAGTACGGTATGATAATTGCCAATATTTATTGAATACTTAGATTAGACTAGTGTACCATTATGGTAGGTGCTGTCTGTATATTATACTATGGCATAATATAAGTAGAACTCTTAGAGTAGTACCTTTAGGAGGCACTATTATTCTATGGGTTTTATGTTTTTTAAATTCTTTAACCCATTTAATCTCCACACTAATCTTCCTTAGTAGGTATTGTTACTGTCTCCATTTTGCAGATAAAGCAACTGAGATGTAGAATCATTAAGGTCAAACAACTAGAAAGTGTAGAATTTGAACCCAGACAGAAGGTTTCCGGAATGGAATGGATCTGTTAGATCAGCTGGTTCAAACTTAGGTCCCATGTCCTGTGTATCCTACGCATGCATCTATATATAGCCTTTGTGGATGCTTGTCTGACCTCTGTTGAAATCGCTACTGGAGCAGAGTCATGGAGAGGTGGTATTGTGTTGTAGCAGAAAAACCCTGGGCTAGGAGTGGAAAATGCCAGTCTTGGATAGATCACAGTAACTTTTCTGAGTCTTCATTTTATCATGTCTAATATAGATATTCTAATGCCAGTCTCTTATGCATGTTTGGGTCAATGTTTTGTTAAAACAAAGTTTGTATAGAGGTTCTCAGTTATTCTTTTTTTTTTTTTCTCAAATTGTCTTTGCTGGTACCTTCAGCATAAGAGTGATTGTGTAGCATCTATGGCACCATTGTAAGGGCTCCTTGAATTGTGATAAACCTCAAACATAACCTGTAATCTTAAAACAAGTAAGTTTTAAGTCTGAATCACTCTTTTACTAGTCTGTTGTATATTCACTGATTTTAGATGCCTAGATGGCTGCTCTTTGATGAAAATGCCAATGTAGGTCTTGTGATGACCCTTGGCTGCACAACAGAATTTTAACAATTGAGCAAATCATTTGGGGGCTGTGAAGAGCTGGGAAAGAGCTCATCTTCTTGAAATATTTGTTGTCATATGTTTGCATCTTCAAAAATTATAGAGAATGTTGCTTCTTACCCAAGATCTTGACAGATTCATGTTGTTTTTACATATTGGTGTGTGATTTTATAAAGTAGTTAGACTGATGTTAAAATTTCAAAGCCATAAGGTATTTGTAATTTTGGTTAATAGTTGATACTTTTTTTTGTAGTTTATTCACCTTGATGACGATTGTGTAACAGAACTTTCTGTACATCACAGAACCAACAGGCAGACAATGGCGGACTTAATTTCATTGGTAAGAAAGACAACCTGAATTAAAGAGTATATAAATTTTGTTTCATTGTTCTTTATTTTATCAGTGCATTACAAACAGCATTTTTCAGCCAGGTGCAGTGGCTCAGACCCATAATCCTAGCACTCTGGGAGGCTGAGGCAGGTGGATTGCTTGAGCTCGGGAGTTCAAGATCAGCCTGAGCAAAAGTGAGACCCTGTTTCTACTAAAAATAGAAAAAAACTGGTGAGGCATGGTAGCGTACACCTGTAGTCCCAGCTCTACTGGGGAGGCTGAGGCAGGAGGATTTCTTAAGCCCAGGAATTTGAGGTTGCTATGAGCTATGACACAGTGGCAGAGTGAGACTCTGGTCTCACACACACACACACATACACACCGTGAAAAATAATTTAAAAAATGAAAAACTTGTCCACAGAGGATCTGCAGAGTCCTAATTTTGACTACTTTAAGGTTCTCATATAGAAAAACTCATCAGGCATTGTAGTGGCACCTATAGCCCCAGCCGTTCAGGATACCAAGATAATAAGATTATCGCGTGAACCCAAGGGTTTGAGGTTGCTATAAGCTATGATGCCTCAGCACTCAACCCCAGGGTGACTGAATGATACTTTGTCTCAAAAGAAAAAAAAATTCTCTTACAGACAACTATAGTTCTGTTGTGTAAATAGATAAACACAAAGGAGTTTTCTTCTAACCTAAAAAAAAGCAGCTAGTATCCTATCACCCCCCAAGCTTATGAATCAAGTACTATAAAATCATTATGATTTTGGTGTTGGATCATTTTTACCACATTGAGATGTATCCAACCTGCGGCCCATGGGGCGCATGCTGATTTTGTGAGAACTTTTTTTGCTTATCTGTGGTGTCAGATACCATGAATCTTTTTTTTTTTTGATAATCAAATTTTGTTAGTGTTTTTAATGTGTAGCCCCAGATAATTTTTTTTTTCTGGAGACAGAGTCTTAAGCTGTCACCCTGGGGAGAGTGCTGTGGCATCATAGCTCATAGCAAACTCCAACTCTTGGGCTCAAGTGATCCGCTTGCCTCAGTTTTTCTATTTTTAGTAGGGACAGGCTCTTGCTTTTGCCCAGGCTGGTCTCAAACTCGTGAGCTCAAGTAATCCACCTGCATTGGCCTCCTAGAGTGCTAGGATTATAGGTGTGAGCCACTACATCCAGCCTAAGATAATTCTTATTCTTCTAGTGTACAGCAAAGAAAAAAGTTGAACACCCTTGCTAGATCATGCCTATATATTTTTTATTTCTCTAGAGATGGTGCATTCATAGCTGTTTCTGAATGCAATCTAACATGGTACTCGAGGATTGCATGTAGCTTTGCTTCTGGCCCAGTCTTTCATCATTCATGATGTATATTTGTTTTTTTTTTCTGTTCTTTAACTTACAAAGTAAAATCCTTAAGCTATTTATTTAGCTAAACAAAAAGCCTTTCAGTGAAGAAGAAATATAAAAAATTCTTTTGAATGGCATAATAAGCAAAGGTTCTGGAATATGTCTGGAAAATGGAAGTATAATTTACTTTTCATGCATAATGCCTTTAAGAGAATGGCAGGCATTGGGAATTGCTACAAGATATGTCAGGTCCTTAGTCTTTTATCAATTCAAGTTTCCATTTAAGCAATCTAAAAAAATTGCAGAACCTTTTTCTTGGGATAATCTTTAATAGAAGACTCATATTTTAGATACCAAAAATGTTTCTTATAAAAAATTTTGAATACCAACAAACGTAGAGAGAATAGTGTAATCACACTGAGTTTCCATATTCTCATCATCCAGTTTCAAAAATTAATAACATTTTTACAATTTTATCCATATCCCAGCACCCCATTTACCCTTTCCAGATGGGGTATTTCAAAGCAAATCACAGCTACCATGTCATGTTATCCAGGAGAAATTTGATATGGGATCCATAAACTTAAACTTGAATCTTAAAAGTAATATACTCAGTTTCAAGAAATGTTGAAAAAAAAATAAGTCTTTCAAATAGTGCCTTTTATGAGGTCTTTATCTACAGTTTTCAAACTCAATAGTCAAATGGAAATATGAATTAATTGCTTTCCTTCTGATGCAAAAATCACATAGATAATGAAGTATATTAGAAGTTTTCTGGTGCTACATCTCTAAAGATCTTCTCAGTTACTCTGAAAGCTAAGCATGACCAACAGTGGGAATGTAGTGAGGAAAGAAATAGTTTTCCTTTTGTTGTACTTCTCTCATTCTTTTTTTTTCTTTTGAGATAGAGTTTCATTCATTTACCTAGGCTGTAGTGCTATAGCATAATCATAGCACACTGCAACCCCCAACTCCTTAGCTCAAGAAACCCTCCTGACTCAGCTTCTTACATAGCTGGGACTATAGGTGTGTGCTACCGTGCCTGGCTTATTTAAAAAAAAAATTTTTTTTGGAGATGGGGTCTCATCATGTTGATAAGGCTAGTCTTGAACTCATGGCCTCAAGTCATCCTCCTGCCTCAGCCTCCCAATCTTCTTTTATTCTTAAATGCCTGTTTATATTTATGTTCAGTCCCAGGGATAAAAAGAATATAGGCAATACAGGTTATTCACTCTATATCAAAGAGTCTTTTTTTTTTTTTTTTTTTGAGACAGAGTCTTACTATGTCACCCTCAGTAGAGTGCCATCATAGCTAACAGCAACCTCAAACTCTTGGTCTTAAGCAATCCTCTTGCTTTAGTCTCCCAAGTAGCTGGGACTACCAGCACCTGCTGTAACGCCTGGCTATTTTTTGTTGCAGTTGTCATTGTTGTTTAGCTGGCCTGGGCCAGGTTTGAACCTGCCACCCTCCATGTGAGTGGCTGGCACCATAACCACTATGCTACGGGCGCTGTGCCTATATCAGAGATTCTTATCTTGGCTGTACTATGGAATCACTTGGAAACTTTATTTATGTTGAGAGTGAGTCTCATTGTGTCACTCCACGTAGAGTGCTGTGGTGTTACAGCTCACAGCAACTTCAAACTCCTGGGCTTGAGCAATCCTCTTGCCTCAGCCTCCAAGTAGCTGGGACTACAGGCATCTCTGCCATCATGCCTGGCTAGTTTTTCTATTTTTAGTAACGCTCTTGAACCCCTGAGCTCAAGTAATCTACCCGCCTTGACCTCCCAGAATGCTCAATATATAGATGTGAGCCACTGCACCTGGCCTACTTCTAGAATAATCTGGATTTGTAAGTGCCATTCCCAGAGGGGTATGGCAGAGGCGTAAGAATTACTTGAAGCTTCCTAAATGATTGTGGTATGCAGCCAGGAGTTGAGAACTGCTCTAGAGTCTTGCTATTTAAAGCATGGTCTAGGTCCAGCATCAGTTTCCCTTAGGACTTAGGTGCTTGTGAGAAATGCAGAATTTCCAAGGCCTTACCTCAGACTTACTAAGTCAGAATCTGTATCTTTATCTCTGAGTCATTCATATGCACATTAAAGCTTGAGAAGTATTGGTCCAGGTTCATTTTTCTTAACCTGGAGTGATTATTTTTCCCCCAATGGAGAAATTTGGGAATGTTTGGAGACATTTTAGATTGTCACAGTTGAGGGATGTGTGTGTACTACTGGCATCTGGTGGGTAGTAGAGGCCAGCGATGCCACTAAACATCCTACAGTGCACAGAAGGGCCTCTCACAGAAAGAATTGTCCGAGTCAGACATCAGTAGTACCAAAATTGCTAGGTGCAGTGGCTCACTCCTATAATCCCAACACTCTGGGAAGCTGAGGCAGGTGGATTGCTTGAGCTCAGGAGTTTGAGACCAGCTTGAGCCAGAGTGAGACTCCGTCTCGAAAAATAGCTGAGCGTTGTGGTGGGCACCTGTAGTCCCAGCTACTTGGGAGGCTGAGATAAGAGGATCACTTGAGCCCAAGAGTTTGAGGTTGCTGTGAGCTGTGATTCCACATCACTCTAAGGGTGACAAAGGGAGATTCTTGTCTCAAAATCAAAGATAGTGCCAAAATTAAGAAACCCTGGTCTAGGTAGTCTCAGAGCTTCTTTGTAGTTTCCAATTTGAAAAGCCTCAGGAAAACCAAGTTTGTGTTTAGCTGGTCTGTTCTCTTTTCATTAAGGCATCTTGGAAGCTCTGCCTTTACTTTTAAGACTGATTATGTTATGCAGGACAGAGATTAGTTCAGTGTGATCTCTGCTGGCGTAGGGTTGCTGACTTTTGTGTTAATAAAGAAGGGGAGAAACAGTATTATTTTCAAACATTTGACTTATATAGAACTCTCACTTCTATGTTGTAAGCAGAAGCACCCCTGCTGATTTTTATATGCAATAGTCAAAGTCTTATATATGTCATGATTTTGAGTGATCTTATTGTAGCCTTTTTGAGATTCCCAAGAGTGGTGCTAGAGTTTCCAGCTTAATTGCATTCCTTACTTTCCCCATTCTGCTATCCACGAGTGGCTCTGGATTGGGGAGCAGTCATTCATCTGAACTTCACTAAGGGTCATACGTGCGTATGAGAACCTATTCAGACCAAGATAGATCCCTTTCCCCCACCCTGGGGATGCAAATAGCCATGAGTGTGAAGATTGAGAGAGTGAAGAGGAGAGTCAGGGAAGAGTAGAGGGCTACCCTCCCAATTTCTCTGCCCCTCTGGAACTGTTTTTTCCCAGCCCAGGTGCCTGGGAATTTCTTGAAACTGGAGATTTTTTTTTCCTTTGAGACAGAGTCTCACTGTGTCACTCTTGGTAGAATGCTGTGGCATCACAGCTTACAGCAACCTTAAACT